GGAACTGGTGCTAGGACAGGGAGAGCCAACAGCTACTGAAGCTGCTCTGTCGGGGGCCTTGGGTGGGCGGAGGGATCTCTGCGTATCCTGCGTTTCTGCTCTGCACACATCACTTCAGTAGTGCATGGCCAGTAGTGGCCACTACAAACGACATGACCTTACAGTACCAGAGCTTTTCATGATCTTCTTTCCAGACTGCTTAAAGTCAAACCCTTATTTGATTGTCTCAATTTATCTTTTCCCTCCCGTGAGGCCATAGAACTCAGAGGTTTCTGTTCAGCCTGTGGATTGGCTGTCGCTGGCTCAGGTGGTCCAATCAGGTGTGGCTGGGGAGGTGGAGTCACATACTTTAGGTTCTAGCTCTGCAGGGCCGCAAGGCCATGCGCTGGGACTCCCCCAGCAGTGAGTGTGGCTTCGTAGTTCTTACAACTAAAAATGTTCATGAACGCATGACATCACATCAGGTGGCTGTTTCATAATTTATGACCCTTCCTCTGCTGTTAGCTTTCGTTTATCGCCCCTTTCAGCTTGGGGATGGCTACAAGTAAAACTATGAACATTCTTGTGCATACATTTTCCTTTTCATCTTCCAGATTATATAAAATAATCTTTAAATTACATAGAGATTACATTCTCTGAGCACCTCCAGAACAGAAAACATAACCTTGCAATTTTTTCTTGTTTTATAAAAGGGGTCTGTATTTGCTAGAGATTTCTACTTAAGTAGCTATGGGCAATAGGATGTGATATCAGGGATCTGCTTCAAAGCACTCTAGGGAAAAAATTAGGGGATGATAATAGCTGAAGCAAGATTGGTGAAATGTCTAGCAAATAACAACAACAAAAAATTTCAAGGTTATGTTTTCTGTTCTGGAGGTGCTCCGAGAAGGTAATCTCTATGTAATTTAAGGTGAGCTTATATTTTATATATACTGCTGGAGCGGATGATGGGTATGTGGAGATTTATGATACATTATTGAATCTGTTTTGTGGTTTGTGTCCTACTTCTTTTCTCTTTCTCTCCCCTCTGGATTTTTTGTTGTTAGTCCCCATGTTTCCTCTAGACGTTTGGTACTCACATGCTGCCCTGTGATTCCCCCAAATTTTTCTCAGGTTCAGTGACCCTGACACCTGCCTCATAGGTTCCTTTTCCCTCCTTACCTAAAAACTCAAGTCCATCTGTCTATCTACCTATTCAGTAATTCATTCACATAAAAAAAAAGTGAGCCTATGTATTGGTCAAGACAGGAAAAATGTTGCAAAATATAGTGACTTTCATTGTTTTAGATGTTACTAGACAGCTATTAAGAGGAATGAAATCACAGCTTATTATGTACCCTGAGATAAAAGCCAGCTCGCCAGTGCAACACTCAGGAATGACTGTCTTTCAGCAGAGAAGCCAGATGCCCTCTGTCGGGGGGTGGTGGGGCCAGTGTGCCAGAGTGTAGGGTGTGGCCGCAGGCAGAGCCTGGGAGAGGCCCTCCTCCCTCCAGGCCCACCTCCTCACTGCCTTTTTGCTAACGGCTTTCAGCCTTCTGGGATTTAGAATTGGAAGCTACATTCTGAGGTCATATTTATTTTGTTAAATGAAAATTGTATATATTAAAATCCTTGGGATTTTTGTAATCATTAAAGCATCAAAGAGACTCAAGTGCTCCAGAAATGAGCATTTCATATTCATGCTAAAAAAGCAAAAATCTAATCAGATGGCTTAATTTTCTATTCATTTCCCAAAACATTAGAAAATTGTCAGTTATGTGAGCTAAGTTAAGTTAAATTACAGGGCGAACATTCTGAGGTCTTTCTGATTTTAAAAGTCACAATGTTAAAAAACCAAACTCAAGGAAGTTTTTTTTTATTTTTGTAATGGAGTCTTGCTGTGTCACCCACTCTGGAGTGCAATGGCGCCATCTCGTCTCATTGCAACCTCCGCCTCCCGGGTTCAAGCAATTTTCCTGCCTCAGCCTTCTGAGTAGCTGGGACTACAGGCGCCCGCCACCACCCCTGGCTAAGTTTTGTATTTTTAGTAGAGACAGGGCTTCACCATGTTGGGCAGGCTGGTCTCAAACTCCTGACATCAGGTGATCCACCCACCTTGGCCTTCCAAAGTGCTGGGATTACAGGCATGAGCCACCGCGCCTGGCCAGAAAGAGGTTCTTGAGACCTGTTGGTACTGGGAAGTTGGAGTGCTCATAGGCATAGCTGCACAACCCTAGTGCTTACCTGTGTCTGGCAGGGGTTGGGACTTTCCTGGAGCTCCCTGGCACCCTCTGTGTGCCTCTGCCTTTGCACTCTTCACCTTGGATTATAATTGCATCTTTATCTGTTTCTCCCTCACTAGACTGTGAGCTTCTATGGGAGGACAGGGATTCTATATTTTTCAATGCCTGGAATGCAATTGGGCTTCCGTAAATATCAGTTGAATGAATGAAAACATACATATACACACACACATATATATATATATTTTAAAATACATATGGATTTTATATATATATGTATTTTAAAATACATATAGATTTTATATATATATGTATTTTTTTCTTAAAAAAAAAAACTCCCTATGTTCTTCCTCGTAGATTCTCCTCTTCCTTACATAAACCCCTAGATGGGCTCATTCTTCAGCCTGACTCTGAAGACCTGAGGAGAAAGTAAACACTTCAAGGAAACTGCCCCACAGAGACTCCGAGCCCCCACGTAATTCCCCATGAAAGAAGCATCTACTCCAGAATGGGGGCATCTGGATTCAGGTCACCCAGAATATGCCTTTGCCATCAGCTTCCCCGCTTCCAGAAACAGGATTGTTACCTTTAAACTAGGACAATTCAGTGCTTGGTTTTTTCAACATAACTGCTTCAGGATTTTTTTTTTCTTTCTTTTTTCTTTTTTCTTTTTAGAGCCAGGGTCTTGCTCTGTTGCCCAGGCTGCAGTGCAGTGGTGCCATCATAGCTCACTGTACCCTCAAACTCTTGGGCTCAAGTGATCCTCCTGCCACCATAGGTGTGCACCACCACACCCAGCTAATTTTTAAAAATTTTTTGTAGAGATGAGGTCTTGCTATGTTGCCCAGACTGGTCTTGAACTCCTGGCCTCAGGTGATCCTCCTGCCTCAGCCTCCCAAAGTACTGGAATTACAGGCATGAGCCACCACGACCAGCCTGTTTAAGGATTTCTAAGCATAAGCTTATAATGAAAAACCCACAATAATTAATTCAACTTGCAATCACCGTGAGCACAGCAGGTCAGCAACAAGTTTATTTTGCGGCTAGCAGGGTAACAGGGTAGGGTATGGCTATGTGTTCAGGCCAACTCCCTTGAGCTCCTCACCACTGTCTTCCGTGGTCAACCCTCCCTTCTGGTGTTTGCGAAGGTTTGTCATGGTTGATTGGTTTGTGTTTATGAGGAGTGGGTGGGGTGGGGGAAAGCAAAGCAGGAAATGTAACGTGGAGTGGGCACAGCCTCCCTGTGGAGCCTGGTTACGAGAACTCGGGGCAGTTCTCCTGATCTGTGACCGTCATTTTCTTGACATCAATGTTATTAGAAGTCAGGATATTTTTTAGAAAGTCCACTGTTTCTGAAGGGAGATGACGGTTTCTTGCCAAGATCCAAGCATAATCCACACGAAAAAGATTGATGACGCTGACACAGGAATACACGAGGGCATAGTTCTCATAGTCGGTGGCCAGGACCCAGTACGGTGCCGATGGCATAACTGAGAACCAGAGAGAGGCAGCATTATTGGAGGGAGAGGGCAAGAGAAACCTCAGGACAACACAAGAAGGGTGGCCCAGACAACCACCCGCCAAGGCCTCTGGCTTCTGACTTTGTTTATCAATCCAGAAACAGAAAGACCCTTGAAAGGAGTCTGGACGAGAGCCTAGACTGAGTGTTTCCGACTTACCTCTCTAGCACTGTTGGTGCCCTGCCTGCCTGCCTGCCTCACTCACCCAGAGAGAGAGAGAGAGCGTTATAGTCATCACCCATCTGCACATTCCAGCTGCTCTGTGTGTTCTCAGCTGGATGAGAGCCTAGACTGAGTGTTTCCGACTTACCTCTCTAGCACTGTTGGTGCCCTGCCTGCCTGCCTGCCTCACTCACCCAGAGAGAGAGAGAGCGTTATAGTCATCACCCATCTGCACATTGCTCGCCCTGGCTAGTTTTTGCAATTTTTTTAGTAGAGACGGGTTTTCACCGTGTTAGCCAGGGTGGGTCCTTCGCTCTCCGTGACCTAGTGGATCCACCTGTCTCAGGCCCTCCAAGTGCGGATTACAGCTTTTGAGCCCAACCCGCCCGGCCGAGAACTCTTAAGAGCCCAGAGTGATTTTGGAAAAACTGGGTCTCCCACCTCTGCAGCAGGTGGGCATCATGGCCCCAACCCACACACAACACAGGCCTGCACATTCTGCCTTCCTCTCGTGCTCAGCTCTCAATGAGTAAATTTACCGCCACCCAGATACAATACAGAAGAAAAACTTCACTTGTCCTCTCTCATTTGAAAACTTGAAACCAGTACTCCCCTATCGTTTTAATGGAAGAAACTTCAAGTCATCTAATGTGGATTCAAGCCCCTGTCTAACTCATCGCCCTCCTCCCATGTACCTCTCCAGACTCTAGCTGCTTATTCAGGCCTTTCTTCTTCTTCTTCTTCTTTTTTTTTTTT